TTTTGTGCTGTGTGTGCTTGCAGAGTGGGTGTTTGTGGTGGCAGTGGCACTTGGCAGTGTGTTATTCCTGCTCTTGATTGGAGTTTGTTGGTGTCAGTGTTGCCCTCACTCCTGCTGCTGCTACGTCAGCTGCTGGTGCTGCCCCGACACGTGCTGCTGCCCCAGACACTGTGAGTATGAACATACACTCAGAAATGCACAAGTTTGTGCTCGGAGAACTGACGCATGTCTGAATGAGATTATATTTTGCTTTTCTTTTCTTCTTCTTCTTCTTCTTTTTCTTTCTTTAAGTGTATGAGGCAGGAAAAGGTATAAAGACAACCACCTCCTCACCTCAGACACCTCCCTACCCACCGTATTTCGTCTCTGGTGTCCCAACCATGGTCCCAATTGCTCCTCCCTCTCTGGTGGACAAGATATCTTCAGTCCCTGGCTCAGATGGGACCCTACTCACAGCAGGTGGGGACTTACTCCTGATTACCTGATTGCCATTTGTTAACTATATTTTTTGTCATTTGAGCTAGAAAAAAAGGTTAAAAGAAATGTAGTCAGCCCGAATGTCCCTGTGATAAACTATTTGTGATTTATTCAGTTTATGGTAAAGTAGAAAAACACCAGTATGGTCCTCAAACTAATAAAACACACATCCAAGTTCCCTTTCTGATGACTCGAGTGTGTATCTGCAGTGCCCATGCACGCTGTAGGGGTTCCCTACCGCGTGCCTTCACCTCAGGATCAGGATTCTCTCAGGGTGCTGCAGTATGTAGAGAAACAGCTGGCTCACTTCAACCCTGCCAGGTCCACCAGCCACCAGTGTAAGCCTCATAAACCTGCTCTGTGGCTTTACTGTACTACTAAAGTGTTCTGATGCTGTCTGCAGCTTTGGTAGTGTCTTTTATTTGTTTTCTCTTCTCTTGGCATGACCTTCTGAATTTCCTGTAGTCTGGATGTTATCTAGTTGCCGTTTTGCATGCCTACTTCCCTGAAAGTGTATTTTTTTAATGACTCTCACTTCACACTTAAGGCAGCTTCTTTAAAACCTTGATGTTCTTCATCTGCAGGGTCTTGATCTGGGAGAAGGGCTCTTTTAATTCATTTTTTGGCAGGTGTTACTTATTTGATTAATTCATTAATTTTGTTCTATCTAGCCTGTGCCCTGTCTGAACTGAGCTCCCTCCATGAGGGAGAAAGTGGCTTCCGCCAAACATATCGCAACATCCAGAAGAACGCTCTGCCAGCCATCCCCGATCACGACACTCAGCCTGAACCTCAGCGCTACCGTGAAAACCGCAGTCCGGAGCCAGAGAGTTACCGCGATAATCCCCCATCTCCCCACCATTATCATGATGACCCTGACCCAGAGCCTCGCCACGTACGGGACGAGCCTCTTCCTCTGCGGCGATACAGCGATGACCCTCCATCTTCGTCTCAGTCGCGCAGGCTCGGACGGAATCAGCGGCAGCAAAACCACAACAATGAGGAAAACCACAACAGGTGGAGAACTGTCTGAATACACAGAATGCCTTATGCAGAGATACAGGCGTACACTTAACTCATGTCGTATTTTACAGGTGGAACCCTCGCTCTGAACATCTTCACAGGAAAACATACCGAACTGCAGGGCGAACCGGATCACTGGACGAGCTGGAGGAGTTTGCTGCTTGTTACAAGCAGAGAGGAGGCAGAGGGGCAGAGAGGAGGGACGAAGAACAGCGAGAGTATGAGATGGAGCATCTGGAGTACAGCCGATACCCTTCTCACCGAGATGCCCCACCTCAGCATTATCACAGTAATGAACATGAGGTTGAGGACATCAGCGACCGCGAAGAGCAACCCAGGCGGATCAAGAAAAACAGACATGACATCAGCCCACTACCTTCACCCAAAAAGAGGAGGGACACGTCAGACAGGGAGCGCGCCGTCCCACCTCCTCCCACAGCAGGTCCACCTTCAACTTCTTCTCAAGAGAAGGACTATGATGTTACCTTCCTCAACAGCCTGCTGGACCGTAAAGCTAAGTTGCGAGGGGTTACCCAGGGGAGGACTGGGGCCCGGGGTGATGAAGATTCAGACACACCCTCGAAGAGCAGCCTGAAAAAGAGCAGCGGGGAATCCAGTCGGCACTGCAGTCGCTCACCTAGTAACAGGCCCGACGCAGATTTGCTGCCTTCTCACACGGAGACAGAGCGAGTAAGAACTGACAGGTCGTCACCAGGAAACACTCACTCCCCTCAGCCGCCCGTTCATTCCTTAGCGAGTCACAGAGAGGATCCCAGAAACAAGTCCAGGAAAGTGGTGAGTAACATCGTGAATTACTGGGATTGTATGCAAATTTAAGAATTTAAAGTATAGAGTATATATTCAATATATTTTCTTGGTACTGGTGTGTAATTAATGAAGATACAGGCTAGAAAAATGATAACACTAGGCTAGCTTCAAATCACTAAATACCCAGTGCTGTATTTCCCAGTTGTTTGAGGGTGTTTCCAATAAAGTGCACTTGGCTAGGAGCCCACAAAACTGTTGAGGAACTCATGAGCTTTGAGATCCTGTACAGTAGTTTGAGGACAAAGTGTCACGTTAGCAAGGGCAGTCGAACACAGCAGCCACTTCATTCTATAAATAAATAAATAATTGATCATTCTGGTTTTACAGATTAGGTTAAAGTTCTTTTCAGTTTCTAGAAAAAGTGGGCAGAGCTAAGCAGAGCTTCATTCTGTAGCTATAGCTTTAGCTGCTTATCTTTGGTTAGCATCTTTAACATTTTCAGCTTGGTAAAAGTGAGGGTGTCTCATTCGGTTTGTTGTTACAAACGTTTTTGTGGTGGTTGTCCCCACGGTTTACTTTGGGAAACTTTGTGTCTTCGCTCACAATGAAGAACTCGCTAATAGCCACAACCCCATGCTAGCAAAGTTTGGCTGCTCATAGCATATGGCTGGGAGTATGCTACCAACTATTTGTTCACCCTGCTGTGCGCCTGTTGCATTTGCAGAAAATTTTGAAATGAGACACACTGTCTGATTCCGGTCCCTGGCTGGTCGATTTCTGCACCTCAAATAAAGCCAACAGTGTCTAAAATATGCAGAAATTGCTAATGTGGACTTGCAACTTTTTAGGCCTCAAAGTTTCCGTGTGACCTGAACTTGGAGAAAGCTCTAGTTGAATTATACACAAAAGCTAATGTATTTTATAATTGAAAATACCTCATATTAAAATGTCTTCTTCAGGGAACTGGCTGGGGAAGAGTTGAAAAAAGGTTTGTAGGCCTGTAGTAAGTGTTGTTGTTGTACCTTTGGCAGGTCAGGTTCAGATGCTACCAGAATGAAAACTAGGTAGAAGATTCTGTTCTATCTCCAACTCCACTATAACAATAATAACTGGTTGTCTCCTTACTCACAAACCTGGGTCAAAATGTTATATCGTGTCAAAGACGTCTTCTACAAAACACATCGATTAAGAAGAGTCAGTGTTTTGACCTCAAGTAAGGTCTTGAAACGAATCTTCAAGTCACAAAAGAGTTGAAGGCACTTTGTCCCAGGTTCCACTTCACCATAATAACCATGTTTGGCTAATGTCCACTCTCTCTTTACTGCCTCACACTGTTGAATAAGATAAGCTGTGTTGTTGCTTTGATCATTTACACTTTTTTTTGTCCTCATCAGAGCACTCTCCTCAGCCGAGACTCCCTTATCGTCTGATGGACTTCAGTCTTCAGTACAGACTGAAAGCGTTGTGCAGCCTTGATGCTCTACAGGAACTGCTTGTCAGCTGATAAAAGATGACAAACGTGGATTCATAAAGATAACGTCAAGGACAGCAGACTGTGGGAGAGCTGAATCAGTACTGATGAGTGAAGACAAGGACAGCAGAGGCACCCGAGATTGTTACTCAGCTGCTTGTGATGTCATGGTGAAGTCACTGGCTGTGTGTTATGTGGACTAAGACTGAGCTAATGCGTGCAGGGAGTATGACCTGGACCGTTCCTGCGAGCAGTGTGCTGTTGGTCTCCCCTTGTTCCTGTCAGAAAAGGCTCTGAAGCAGAGAGATTTACATTACACTTTCAGCACAATGCATGCATTCATTTCCATCTGATGAGTTACGTGAATGAAAAAGAACTGCTGTAGCATGACAACGGTATGACAGCACGGTTATTGTAAAGGACCGCTGTGTCATTCTGTAGTATATTCAGGGACTAAGGCACCTTAGTCAGAAAGCTTCTGCAGCAGTAATCAGTATTACCAAATGTTTACGCTTATTTATTTTATGGGACAGTGGACATTAATGAAACAACAGTGTTTAACTAAAATGACCAAAGGAGGTAAAGCTTTTTCTACTTAAAATAAGGATAAAAATAGGAGAAATAAGACAGTGCTGACAATATGACACGGCACCAGCAATCTGAAACAACACAAACAATTAAAGACTGTCAACAAGTTCCCCCTTAGTAGATCGAATGCAAAAGTGATGCTGACTAACAAATTCTTTAAACGCTTTAGCTTCCCTCTCATCAGAGCGGGGATAAACACACTGTTCAGCACCAAATCACTTAGAGGCACAGTTAGTGATTAGATGGTGGACATAGTGGAGGTTCTCAAAAGTCAGAGAGGAACAAAGCAGAGCTACACGAGAAGAATATCTAACATAAATTCCTTATTTGGGTAAAAACACAACTCTAAATAAATGGTAACTTGTGGTAACTTCGACTGATATAGTCACTTATACAAATGAGGTTTGTAATATAAGGTTTAATTCCATGTAGCAACATGTATCAGCTAGAAACGTCTGAATTGATTTAGTTTCGTATGTCTATTATTAAAAGTTTATAGCAACAGGATACCTCAGAATGGGCCTCTTGTAGATGGTTACAAATGTGAGCATTAAGCTGTCTGTATATAATCTGTAAATGACCTAATATGACAGAAATCTATGCATTTTTAAACATTTTAAAATACCTGTTAAGTCTGGATAAAAAAAACTGTATTAAAAAGACAATGATTTTTCATCACTGTGTGAACGAAACACCCAGAAAAGAAGTAGAAGCACCAGAAGAGGCCTAATAATCTGTTCCCAAACAGCAAAAGTATATTTTGATGGTGAGAAATAAGAAATGGTTTTGAAAATCAGTCATAACTCATAAAGCTGCACTGACGCAGCACTAAAGTGATGAAGGTGTGGACTAACCTATACTGACCTCTGACCCAAATATGACCCACATTTGCTGTAGCATTAGCAGCGGTGATGCAGTTAACCCCAGTGCAGTTTTGTAACATCACTAATGACGGGTATATATTTACATGATACATGCTAAAACATGATTCCCATCAAAATATTTTAATATACAACAGTACATGACAAACTGAAACTGTATGAAATTAGTGAAAAATGAGGGAATTGTTAATGACCCCCTCCCCTCGCAAAGAAAAACGACAACAACAACTTTTTTTTTCACTATATGAATCCCATTGGAAATTCCCCCCAAATTAGTTTTAGAGATTTAATCATAGGTCAAGATTATTATGCAACAGTAACATTACTTTGTGGAGCTTTCCCTCCTCTAATAAAAACATGTTACAATGTATAACTAAAAGTTACATTTTGTATTGTCTGTAAACATTTAAAGGTATTGAACTGCAATTTGCCTTTGAAAGATTTTTGTACTACACTTTTGTACGGAACTGTTTGTGCACATGGTGTGTTTGTGTTTAAAATTTGTAAATGATCTTGTGTGTGTAAGCACTCAAGTGCGTACATAAGATGAATTCTGTATTTCTTTCACCATAATTCAGCCATTGCTTATCACTGTTGAGTGAGCACTTAAACCAACTCAGTGTTATCAGCAGCCACACACTAAGCGTGCTTTATGGAACGGTCATATCAGATATTTTGTTCTAATATTACACTGTCCAGTAATTCATCGCTCCCATGTTGGTGACACCTGTGTAATTATTTTTTTAATGGTTGGTGAAAAATTCTCCCTTTGTTTTCTCTTGTGTTTGGTACAGACAACTCTTTGTGCGGGAGTTAGCAGGAATGAGAGAGATGACTTTATTTTTCTGTTAAGGAGACAATGTGTGATTGCGTATGACTCATGTCTTTGTTCATTGTTTTAATCACAGACTGCCTGTCTTGACTACACAGCTGGCTCGACACTCACATATCGGGTCTTCCAGCTAAGCCGCAGATATTGTCCCTGTTTCTCGCCGACATACCACATTTGTTACAATTGCAGACAATAGGTTGCTGAAGTGCCTACTTGCAGGGTGGCAAACATTAAGGCCAGCAGTGTTTGACTACGCAGCAAAATAAAGTCTGCAGAAATAAAACTCCAGGGTTTATTGAAAGTTCAGATTATTTGTTTTAAACTGCAGAGACATCAGTGGAATGAGGGTGTTTCTCTTTCATGCTGCTTAGTATTTCTGTTGCGTCGGTATGCAAACTTTACTGCCTTTACTGTGTAATTGTAGTTTCTACTTACTTTTGTGGATAAATATTTTAAACCTTAACCAGAACGTTGAGATTATAAAATGTTGTCCATCTAAAAACATGTCTGTGTAAACAAACCAATAATAGCCATTTATTTGTTTCCATACTAATCAACACATCATCAAATCTATAATCCTGCATAAGAAATACTTTAATTGGAAGCTTTTTCTTTCTTTTTTTGGGTTTATTTTTGTTTGCGTGCCAAGCCGACATCAGTTTGTTGCGATTTCTGTTATCTGGCCACACCTCCAAAGGGAGGGTTTAGCAGGTGAGGAGCAGCCAGTCAAAACAAAGGTGGCTTTTAAGGAGGGGCAGCCTTGGAGATCCAAAACAGGTAGAATTATGCTTAGTTTGCACTATTACACTTGTGTTCGTTTGCATTAGTATTTGCCTACAGAGAGGGGCTTTCAACCACTGCAGGTATGTTCCCGTGGAGTCCTCCAAAATCCCAGCTGCACATCGCTCAATCTAGATGAAGCCCAAAAAGACCATCAAAGACCAAAAAAATAGAACATGAAGGGTACAAGCAGCGGCTGCTGTAGACACTTTTCACTTGTTGTATAACTTCATTCTTCACCATGGGTGGCTGATGGACCAACAACAGCACAAGCAAGATTAACCCACTGACTGGTTGTACCACATATTTTTGATGCAGTTTGACTTCCTGCCCACAGACTGCCACCACTAAATCATAATGTTCCCATAACACTGTGATTGCTGCATAAAGGTTCAGTACAAATAAATAAATAAGAACTGAACAGTAGAACTACTCTGGGCCAAAGAATGAAATGTTCCCCTTCATGTCTAATTTTTTCTGATAAAGACTTAATACTTACTTAAAAGTGGCTGTGATGTAGCACGTTTACGTTACTGTTGCACTTTTACCCAAGTGAAAGATTTGGATACAATTTGTAATTACTTAAGATATTAATAGGAAGGAAATAATTCACTTTTTGAGCTATTATTCTGTGAGTTTATGTGAGCTCCTTCACTGCATGCTTGTGATGGGAGGGTTTAGTGACCACTCACAGCTTGTGAAATGTCAGGAATGCTGTTGAGCAACTCTCATCTGTAATGAAGCATGGCTGCAAAGGAATATGACATCAACATACGCCACGGATGGATCTTAAAGGTTTGGTGTGTATGGAAGTAATTAGCTACCAACTGTTTCTGGTCAAAAATCTTATGGCAATCAGTGGACTGTTTGGTAACTGTCAGTTAATTCTGATCAAACTGCACATATAGGTTAAACAAGTGGTAAACACCTAGAAATCTACCCGTTTAATCAATAGCATTTCAGTTATTTAGTCAACAATTTAATCACAAATGTTTAAGTATTCAATGTAAATGATTGCAGGTTTCCATTTGTATGATATAAAATGAAATGCACAAAAATGTTGCACAGTTTTCTACGGGTCTCGGCTGACAGCACTGATTCAGGGTTACTCTCTTGCTCTACGAGTCTTCACTACTTCAGCCAGATGCCGTGACATTTTGGGCCCGCACCAACTTTAGCCGCTGCCGCGGAGACCTGCGCCTTTAAAGGTCCCCGGCACTGTTACCATAGAAACGCAACAGAGGCGTTCGTCGTTAGAAAGTTTCGAATGTAGTCTTCTGCAGGAAGGAGAGTAAAACTTGGAGGCCGTACGGTTTACTCTGGCTGAAATTTGAAAAGACAACACATAAAGTCATGTTCTCGCAGCTAACGCCTGAGGAGTCGGCTTCACGGTGAGTTTGTGTGCTGCTTCTTCCCGTCCGAGCGAGTGAAGCCCAGCCAACATCAATCTGAGCGGTCGGTGCTGCTAACTTTCTGCCGCTGCTTGTGTGTGAACAGGATGTGGACAGCAGCGGGACGCGACAGTAGCTATGTCCTCGTAGAGCTACAAGTATTACAGCGAGAGCAGGAAGAGCTCAAAGCTAAGTACGAGGAAAGCAAACAGGTGCGGAATTATTTCTCGAGACGCGACGCAGTCACTTCTCGCGATAGCTGAACGATCAGTCTGAAGGGTAGTTGAACTTTACCAACGCACTGTAACAATACTGAATGTTTAAGTATTTCTTATCTTAAAAACGAACAAATGTATTTAAGTTTCATCAAACGAATTAAGAGCACTTTATTGGGAGCATCTATTCATTCCTAAACAATTATCTAAACAGCCAGTTATCTGCCACTTAAAGGCAGTGGCAGGGCTGTCCCATCATTCAGTGTTGTTAACAATAAACTCTAAATAATAAATAAAATCTATTTGCTGTAAAAGTGTATGATTATATTATATGATATATCAGGAACTATTCATATAAATGCCATAATCTTTAAAAGAATTAAGGGATCGTTCATTGCAGTACAACACTAATGAATTTAAACGTCTATGCAGCTTGCAGGTGGTGGTCACAGGCCATTGCTCTCTCTTTATTCCTGAGAGATTTTTCTGTACATTTAGTTTTTGCTAGTGTCCTTGTCAGTAGTGGTTGCATGAGATGGTTCCCTCAGCCCATTGAGGTTTCACTGGTTGAGCAGCTCCTCCAGGATTACACATGTTGGAGGAGCTGTA